CTCTTGATATTCAACGTGCTCGGTTGCTGGTTGTTTGAACTCGGATAGAAGAAATTGATTTTCAGTCATGCTCGTGGCAATTGATGGAGCTTTCACATCGTTTTCACTTTCAAGCAGGCTGTTATCGGGGCCCCCGATAGCAGTAGTAAATGCTACCAGGTTTTTATCGGGGGGGCCGATATCACCGAAAATTTGCTCCTCATTGCCTTCTTCTTCATTCTCTTCGCCGTTCGGCTCAAAATTACGTTCGTCCAGCACCTCAGGCTCTGTGTTGCTGCACATCCTCAGGTCTCCGACATCATCGTGGCTGGCTTCGGCTTGAGATAATAGCCGACTCTTGGCTCGGGCATCCAATTCGCTCAATACATCACCAATCGCTTTGCTACTAGCCATCAAAGAATTTTGACACTCCTCAAATAACTCCATCAATGACGGACTAGTCTCTTGTTCAAGCGAAGGTTCTGAAAAATATTGTGAGCCTCCATAGCGGAATTGAGGGTTATCGTGCTCATAAATAGGCTCATACGATCGAGAATATCGTGGATTTTCATAGAATGAATTTCCACGTTCGCCCCAACTGTAATGGTTCCCATAAGAATTTGAATACGCCCAATCGTCTCGTCGATAACAATCTATCTCGGTAGCTCTGCGTGCACCATACCTCTCGAATAAAAGTGGACAATCATCGGTGACATGTCTTGTGGTATGACATATACGACATGGACTCCTTAGAGCTTGACGAACACTCTCAATGGCCTTTTGGATCATAGCCGACATCCTAGCCTCACGTTGTTGGTCTCTTATTTCCCTCCTTTTCATTTCATAATATGTATCGTACGCATAAACACAATCCGGACTCCAATATGCATCCATATCACACGAATACCACCTACAAAAGAATAATAAAGTAAAAAGGGGATTAAAAGAGTAAAAATAAAATGAAATAAAATCTAATCTAACTACTCAATTAATACTAAAAAAATCACAACTCAATTGCGCCACTCCCCGGCAACGGCGCCAAAATTTGACCGCGCGTCGCGACGCGGCAAATTTAAATTTATAAATTTTCCTCAACTAACCTCTACCAACTAGTAGTAGTGGCGAGCAAGGGTCGATCCCACGAGGAGCAGGAATTAAGTCGTGACAATTTTCGTATTAATTTAACTAAACTAAGAAAGCAATAAAGGGGGGGGATTGGTTTATAAAACTAAAAATAAAAATAATGAAATAAAAATCAAATAAATAAGAGAAATCCAGTTTTCGGTTCAGTTATCACCCAATCTAAATCTACCGCTAATTAATCTCGACGCTTTCTTTAAATTGCTAATGAATTACCAACCCTAGCTAACAACAAGCTCTGTTAACCGAATTTTCCGTTACAGAATATTTAGTCGAAATAAGCTCTTCGACCAAGCCTAACTAGCGGACAACCTAGAATAAGCTCTCTAGATTTAATTCACTAGCAGCATTAATCACTAGGAAAATAGATCAGTCTAAGCAATGGACGCGTAAGCTCGGACCATTTAACTTATATTCACGCTACCCTAAGGATGCACGACCCCTAGTTTACTACTAACGAAACAAGACAATAACAATTACGGATTAAAGTCTCGTATCTAGCAGTTAAACTATGAATATTTAACGTAGTTGGCCAGACTAAATCAAACACCATAATTTATAAACATTAAACATAGATAACGTGAATCAACTCATCAACAAAAATAAATACGACGTCTCAATTAACCAACGAAAAAAAATAAATCCTTCAATTCATAGACAAATCAAAGTTAGGGTTCAACATCCCCTCAAATTGGATAAAAATACTAGCCTAACATACTAATAAAAATAAGTACTAGATAAAAGAGAGAAGATAAATATCTCCCTCGTGTGCGGTGCGGCTTCCCTCCGCGTGTGTAGCCTCTCGCCCTTCAATCCGTGCGTTGTTCTTCCCGTTTCTGCTCTCCGCTTTCACTTGTCTTTCTGTGTTCTCGCAATTATATCTCCCCCTTGTGGCTATCTTCGGCCTTTTTTTCCCGTGGCAAATAATTCCCAGTCAATTAATCTCCTGTAATGAGTCCTTCTCTCAGCCAATGATAATTCTCCTTAAGACTCAAATTCTCCTCCATTTAGTTTTGCTGGCCACGTGTATCAACTCAACAAAGGTAAATTGCTTCCATCCATGATTTATTTCCATCAACTTGGTTATGTTTTGGGCCTTAATTGATTCGATATAGAAAGGCCCTACAATGATTCACGAGAACTCTCGTCCAATATTTCGACATCTGCAAAACAAAAATTCCAATATGCTGAAAATAACACATAAAATATCAAAATAAATAAATCCATCCAAATAATAAATAAGTCAAAAAATATAAATGTGCGAATTAATTAAGCGTATAAAATACACTATTAAACATATAAAACGTGCACATTTTTCGACCTATCAAGTACGAGTCTATTTTGAGTTTTACGAGTTGAATTATAAGAAATTTTATAAAAAGAATTATTTTCGAGTTTTAACAACTTGGCTAGTTAATTAGACGAGTTTTACATGAGTTCGAGCTTGATTCATTTGATAGACGACCCGATCCGAACTCGGGTTTAACGAGTCGATGCAAGCCAAGATCGTTTAATTTAACAGCACTAGTTATAACTTATAAATATTTGCTCTCAGTCGAAGTTATCAATCATGTGAAACCCATTCATAATTTAAAAGAAATCTTTAAATGGATCAGAATGTAGTTGGATTGGTACAGAATGCATTACAAGTAACATTATACATAAATTAATCCCTAAAGATAGTTTGTAGTTTGTAAGAGCTTCTCTAGCCCTGCAATACTCTAGAGCAAATGGCTGGAGTTGTGTGAAATTTTTGCTCCAATGCTGCGCTCAAAATTAGCGTCACTTCACAGTTTGCTAGAGTGTTGCGCCAGATGTGGCGCTACA